TTAACTTTCTGCGTGACCCCAACAGCGGTCGTGGGTACGGACCCACGTTTCGCCAGCTGTGGAGTAATGTTCAACAGATGGCGCTTTTTATTTTTTCATATGAATATAAATGCTATGGACGCGGTTCCATGCTTCGCCTCCTGTGGAGTAGTGTTCAAAAGATGGCGTTACTTTCTTATTTCATATGAATATTATGGAAGGGTGGAACTCCACCCTCATGCGCTGTTGGGGTCACGCAGAAAGTTAATCACTTGAGATCACGCAATATCAGCGAGAATTAACAAGAAAATATAAAATAACTGTAGCGCCATCGGTGGACTTAAGCCACGAAGTGTAGTTAAAATGTAGCATTTTAGTGGGCTGTGCAAACTGCTCCTCCGAAGAAAGTTAATCACTTGTAGAGTAATGTTCAACAGATGGCGCTAGAGTTTTAAATTAACTTTCTGCGTGACCCCAACAGCGCATGAGGGTGGAGTTCCACCCTTCCATAATATTCATATGAAATAAGAAAGTAACGCCATCTTTTGAACACTACTCCACAGGAGGCGAAGCATGGAACCGCGTCCATAGCATTTATATTCATATGAAAAAATAAAAAGCGCCATCTGTTGAACATTACTCCACAGCTGGCGAAACGTGGGTCCGTACCCACGACCGCTGTTGGGGTCACGCAGAAAGTTAAATACTTGAGACCAAACTAAATCCGCGAGAGTTAAGCAAGTATGAAATAAAACTGCAGCGCCATCTGTTGAACATTACAACATCTGTTCAACAGATGGCGCTGCAGTTTAAAATGTTTTCTTGTTAACTCTCGGTGAATTAGNCCCCCTAAGGGCGGGTGGTTGGTGGGCGGACGGTGGGCCAAACTTTTTTTTCTTTTTGATCCCATGTGGATTTTAATAAAACCCGCTTAGGTTGAGTGTTTTAATGAGCGGCCGCAAAAAGCAAAAATTTTCCCTCACCCCGGTCCCTCCCTCCTCCCTTACCCTATCTCCTAACTTCTTTCCATCTTCTTTTTCACAAAAATCCTACTGGTTTTGAACCAGGGACCTTCTGAACACTAAGCTGATGTCTTACCCCTAGACCACCAGCACCGCTGAAATTTATTTTCTTTAATCTTCCTCTTAAGCTACATCTTCGGTTATAATTCCAGAAAAATCAATTAACTTACCCTTCTAAATCACAAAACTATACTTGGTCTCGAACCTTCGAACGCTGGTTCACTACGCCGGTGTTTTACCAATAGGCCACTAGAGCCATGGAAATTTTTAACCTCTAATCTTCCTCTTATGTTACATTTCGCAATATAATTCAATAAAAATCTCATTACAAAAATACTTCTGTTTTTGAACCACGAACCTTATATTTACAACGCCAGTGCCTTAGCTCTACACCACCAGGACATCGACCATACAACCTTCTGCGATCCTGCTCATATTCTACGACTTGGTTTATAGCTGCAGAAAAATCGTATTTATTTATTCACTTTTCAATTTCTATTGACAAAAGACACTGTGGTCTCGAACCCCGTACCTTCCAAGTACTACCCCAATGTCTTACCCAGATCTATACAAATTTGTTACCTTCACCTTTCTCATATCATACCACTTGCTTCCTACATGCACAAATGTCTTACATTCTTTTTTTCACAAAAGTAGTCATGTCTTCGAACCACGTAATTTCTAAACCATACACCTTACCTCTAGCTCACCAGCCACTCTTGATGTTACTCAGCTATTTAACCTTTAAACGCCGGACTTCTGAAATGGTGGTAAGCTTGAGCTGGCCGGAGTTTATTTAAATGCCCGCTGCTCGTGCGCGTTTAAATGTCCATTCCTGTTAGGGCGCTTAAACAATATTAAGCATTGTGTTTAAAACTGCTGTATCTAACTCAATTTTTATGATAAATGGATGGAATTAACTGTGTTTGTATCAGCAAAGAACATACTGTCGCAAATTATAACGGAAGATTTAAAAATGTTTATACAAAGAGTTATACTATATTTTCAATTTATTTCTTTTAATTTTGACGCGTACTGCAAAAATGGTTTCCCAGAGTTGTTCTGCGTTATAAATTTATTTCTGTTTGTAACATATGACAAATTTGAGCAGTCCCTGGTGTCACAAAAGAGATGGAAGCAATGAAATTTGGTCTTCCGCTAGCATTGCTTACACTCTTCTGATTTTCGAATCTTTTGACTGAAGGACAGAAGACTGAAAGAATGACTAGTCAAGAGAAAGATAGAGGGCTCCCTTCTTCACTGCTAAGACCTTCCATTATGGCTGCAAGAGATTATTCCAATTTCTAGGGTCATGAACAGACAGTTACATCTAGGCTGAGATACAGAGTGCGCTCTGTTTTCTGTGCGTTCATACTGAAACCGAATACTGTAGTTTCATTTCAGCCTATATATACATCAAGCAGACAACAGAAAAGGTATGTACATCGAATTTTACTATATATTTTTAACACATTAGTCCTCAGAATCTGCAATAAAAGTACTGGCTCGTGGATGAGTTTGGGCGTAACTCATACATATATGTGGATATGTTATGTTCCTAAATACGAAAAGTAACCCCCTCTCCCACAAAAAAAGAAGATTTTTAGAAAGTGCCAGAAATCACTCCAAGCATAACATAAGCACTCAACATACTGTAAAAATGGCCAGCAGTGCTACAACAAGTATCAAAACCATTACACTCACTATCTTCAAACAACAGGAAAACATTTCAGAAACAGGTATGACTTACTCAGTCATAAAATTTTATGATCCACCTTCCTATATTATCACAAAGTGCTAAAAATTTTCACGCATAAGGAAGAATTTCTTAAATTGTCTCAGCACAAAATCATTTGTTCCATTTGACATGACATCCAGTCACAATGCGAATTACAAAATCGCCATTAAAAAAAAATTGTCTGTGTTTAAGTTACTATAAAATTGAGAATAACAGAATTACTAGTTTCTTTAAAAATCATGTTAATGAATAAATTTTTACTAACATTTGCAATGTATTTATTAAAGAATATTTATACACAAAACTGGCAATTTAAATTCAGGAAAATAACAATCTGAAAATATTCCAAATTTACACATGAATATTTACAATTTACAGTTACATTCATATATATAACATTAACAAACGAATGAACTGAAACAAGAATGTTCAACAAAATTATGCATACGCTAGAGTTGAAGTCACAGCAGTGGCTATGAAGTACTTCCATTCAGGAGAGCTGGTGGCATCATATTATGATTTTAACAATGTCACACAAGTCTGAGATGCCTTAAGGGTGTATAGGGGAGACAATCTTAGCCAAAATAGCTTAAATTACAATTTGATTAATATCTTAATTTTGCACATATTAAATAAAGTCACAAGCAATGTAAGTGATAATTAGAGTCCTAATTTTTTTTGTGGGAGTATTTGTTTTTATCATTTTTTATATTTATCATTAATGTCACTAATTATAATAACATTTTTGATAGCGTACTCTCTGAATCACACCTGACAAAAATTTGTTGAATTTATTTTTATATGAAGTATTAAATTACGTTTTAATATAAAGAATCTGGTTATTTCTTATATTTATAAAACTATGAATTTAATTGTATTCATTTTTATTATTGAAATTCTCTTTGAGAATAATTAAACTTGACAACACTGTATTTTTCATAAGCTGGCTGTCTTGTGCAGTTCAGTGGTCCAACATGAGCAGACCGACGACACAACTGAAGCTTTAGTTGATGCATTGTATAGTTGTAGGTTAATCGCAACTACATTTCTCGGTTACATTGTGTTTTTCATGCATCATGATGCCAAAAGCAACTTATCGTTGAAAAGGAAGGTTAGTGACTAAAAGTATAAATCAGAAAAGATTTGCTCAACAGAAAACTCACTATGGCTTTTGCTACACTACTTTGTAACTGTTTCCAATGTTGCTGCACTTCTACACTCAATAGCTCGCAAATCGTGTAAAGGTCAAAGTTTCAATACATCGTTATTAATTTCTCCTGAACTGTGTAATTAACGTAAATATAATTTTGTAATTCCTAAAGGCTGAAATTATGAGTGTAAAAATTTCTAAACACATGGTACCATTTTTTACATGTTTTTACCTACTATAATATACGAGGTGATGAATTCCCATAACATCATGTGTAAATTTAGTCACAATTAAAAATACAGTAATTCTGAATTGGTTAAAAAAAAGTAAAAAAAGTAAGGCTATCCCTGTAACAGGCCGTGAAGGCCCATAGGGTTGTGAGACGTTAAGGGTCCCACATTACCTTGACAATCGGCTCAAACATGGCGGTAAGGTTGTCAGTCTTACACGCCGGCTGCACTTTACTCCCCAGGAAAATCATTTAATTAATTCCTGGTACTCATTTCTGTTAGAGGCTGAGTAAACCCCAGGGCCAAGTGCGGCTGGAAGGATTAGGTCAACTGAAAAATATCCAATGACCTCATTGGGACTTGAACCCACGACCTTCTGGCTCGTAGCATAGTACCTTAACCACTACGCTACCGCGTACTTTGAAATGGTTAGCAAACTTTAATAGGGATTTTGGAATGAAAGAACAAACACTCTGCACAATTTTTGTACCATTTCTAAGTATCTCCTATACATCCCCAATTCATGCTAAGTAATGACCTCATTTTATATCAGTAGTGAGTTGAAACAGCCTTCCCTCAACAGTTCTAGGAGAGGCAGTAAATAAGAACAATGCCATTCATTATATCTGGTCACCAGGTTACTGCAAATACATGCATTAAAAAAAAAAGTAAAGCTATCCCTGTAACAGGCCGTGAAGGCCCATAGGGTTGTGAGATGTTGAGGATCCCACATTATATCTAGACAATCGGCTCAAAGATGGCGGTAAGGTTGTCAGCCTTATGCACCAGCTGTGCTTTACTCCCCAGGAAAATTATTTAATTCCTGGTACTCATTTCTGTTAGAGGCTGAGTCGACCCCAGGGAAATAGTGCAGCTGGAAGGATGAGGTCAATTGAAAAAAATCCAATGACCTCATCGGGACTTGAATCCACGACCTTTCAGCTTGTAGCATAGTCCTACAAATACATGTTCATGTATGCGAAAGTAGGCTAGCATTGATTAAAAGCTGTGCTACTAATTTTGGTATACTAAGAGAAGAAGTAAAAGACAAAAACATTTTTTCTGCTGAAATATTTCAGCATTTACTTTTAAATGACTCCAGAACAAAGTCTACCATTGCACAGTTACAATAAAACCAAACTGTTCTATTCCACATGTTTGCCACATACCTGTTCAAGGAAGTAATATAGACACCAAATAGCAGGCAACCTCCTATTACTATTACATATATATGATACCCAAATGTTATAAATATGAATTTATTTTAAAACAAAGATTCATTTAAGTAACCAAATTTTGCATCACATCACCTTCAAAGTACTCCCCATTGGGAATTATACAGCGAGCCTGGCAATTCTACCATCATTAAAGCGATGTCTAAAACTTATTTTCATAATGCTGTTAAGAATCTAATATGAATTTTGATGAATGTCCAAAAAAAATGCAATACCTCTGCTTAGAGCTTCAATTTCATCATTGGAACTGAAAAGAAGTCACATGGAGCAAGATCGGGAAAGCATTTATGGGAAGGGTGGACTGCGGACATTTAGGTTTTGTTCCTGAACCACTGGACAGAACATGGAGTGGTAGCACTGCCATAATGAACCAACCAGTTACCATGTCACAGTTTTTCAGGATGCTTCCTGTAGGTTCCACAGCACATCTGTGTAATACTCCTGACTGGTACTTTAGACTGGAGGAACAAATTTTTGACATGCAGTTCCACTGAAGTCAAATGAATGACCACTGACAATATTCAACTTTAACATTTTGGATAAACTTTCTTTTCCAAGAATCTTTGTTACGTGTTCTATGTTACAGAGCCTAATTTACCAACCTCGAAACAAAACTTGATTAAAAAATCACAAGACACACTGCATTAGTCATCACTAAACAGCTCCATGTCTGTAACTGATGCAACATAAATTAGAGTATCTGAGAAACACTACTCACAGGAGTATCACCAACAGATGCAAAAAGTGGGACCCTTATCTGTGGCAACATTACTGGAACATGCTCATAATTCTTGGAGATCACTCTGTACATACATACATATAAAGTTGCCTGAATGTCAAAACTGTAAAATTCTGAAGGTCTGTCAGTTCTTATTTTCAACCACTGACTGTTTGTCCATATGGAGAGCAATTATGGATGGAATGTGGACAGCACTATCAATGTGAGATGCAAGTTCAGTGTCACTGCCAGAGGCAGTCTGGATGAATGTTGTGTCATTATCCAGTGGACTGGAGAGAACATATTGATATGCTGTGCCAGGCTGAAGGGTTGTTGCCAGCTGCTCCACAAGACTGTGGTCTGCAGGTACAGTAATGTACTGACCACAACGATCAGTTAGCAGGATTGGAGCTCCCTGGTTAAGTGACGCTAATATTTCAGCACTGTGCAAACTGTCATCAATACTACCTTCTGGCATTGAGGAATTCTGAACATAAACTAACACTGGCTGGAGTGTGTCCTGTTCATCTGCAGATACCAGCTGCCCTTCTTTCTCACAGCCTTCCCTCAATTCTCTGCACCCATTAATTGATTCTGGAAGTGATGATATGTCTTTTGATTTCTGAAATTGCTGGTCTAACTTCATTACTTCCTTCGAGCCTGAATCTTGATTACCTAGGGACAACATAAATGATTCTTCCTCAAGAAGATCAGCACTGTCCTGCAGATTGTCTGTTTCTAACATGCTAACATTTCTTTGTGGTTCACACCTCTCCAACTCTGACACGAGACCGTTATCAGTAACTGAAACAGTATTTGAAACATGTGTTTCTTGAGCTTTGTGTTGCCTCATGTGGCTCCTCCAGGAATCTTCTCTAACAAACGCTGCATCACATGATGTACATCTGTATGATTTGTAGCAGAATGGCTTTGAATGAGCTAGGGACTTCGGCCCATTACGAGTGGAAGGCCCAACTTTCCCTGATACTGTCTCTTTTGAAGCACTCTTTCCCTTTTTAGGAACCCTAAAATCAGGATGCTTCTTCTTCATGTGAGCCTTAAGGTTTCCTGAAACATAAAAATAATAAAATCTTACAAATCAGTTTTGGATTTGATGTAAGGGCATAAATAATTTAAATAAGACAATCTTAACCAGTCACACTGAATGGAACTATTTAGCTTTTTCACAATCAGTTTTGGGTTTCCTTGTTGGCAGTTTTATAATATTCATACACTGTAACAGTTACACTACATTTACGGTTATGTTCAGCAGTATGATAAAGATAAGTCGTCCATGTACTTAACTAATGAAGTATTATTCCATGAAGGTGTATGGGGGAGTGGATGCATAGATCCACATTCTCTTGACCTTAGCACTACCTGGAGGTGAGTGGTCAGCTTCACGCCATGGCCTCTTGAACCCCGTGGAAATATCCCCCCACCATACCCGTTGGATAGGAGGTTGGGTGGACCCCTCAGCTGGTCTGGACAATGTGGGGGAAGAGAAAATTCTTGACCCTACCGGGACTCAAACTCCAACCACTGGTTCATCCAGCCCATAGCCAGTTTTTATATGGACTACACTATCTTGTTCACCAGTATGATATGACACAATTAGTAAAAAAAGTAAAGTAAAGGTAATCCTGTGGAGGCCCATAGGGTTGTGAGATGTTGAGGTTCCCACATTTTCTAGACAAGCGGCTCATAGATGGCGGCAAGGTTGTCAGCCCTACATGCCGGCTGCCCTTTACCCCCAAGAATATTCCAAGAATATACCTGGTACTCATTTCTGTTAGAGGCTGAGTCGACCCCAGGGCCATAGTGCAGCTGGAAGATTTAGGTCAATTTAAAAAAACCCAATGACCTCATAGGGACTTGAATCTGTGACCTTCCGGCTTGTAGCACAGTGCCTCAACCAACTACGTTACTGCGTGTCCCTGACACAATTAGTTATTTTGACAATTTTGTGGGCTATTAATGAGATACATTCAAATTCATCAAATGCTTCTACCCCATTATGTTTTTCACATTGTCAACATAGCTCGAAGTGTACTGGTTATAAACAATGGCAAACTGAAGTGATGGGTTTTATTCTTCCAACAGAGTGCTCTATTACAATATGACTTTTGAAGCACATATTAAATAATGTATTCAAATAAATTTAATTTAATTTTAGTGTCTAATAACAGTGAACAGTGAACAGTGAAACCTTAATATCATCTGTTTACTCATTCACTATATGCCCACAGTTTTAACTCCACACTAGTCTGAAAAAACATCAACTAACAGTGAACAGCCTAATGTAAATTTAATGTTAATTATTACAAGGGAGGAGTTCATCATAGTCTTCATTATTCAGTTCATCTAAAGTACAGGAGGTTGGGAATTACAGATTATCACTAATTCCCCGTGTCACGTTAGGTAGACTTCTTTTCTTTTAAATAATCTGAAGATCCTGGATGTTAGCACATCATTACATTTCCTTCTACTGAAGACATTGGTTACAGTGGTCAGTGCTCATGTGACAGAGTATACAACGAAACAAGCTACTGGACTGAACGAAGTTCTGATCACATCATGTGATGGACATTTCTCAACAGAAAAAATCTGGAGAGGACTCAGCCATGAAACTGTCATGTCATGCTACATGTTGTCCTGAAAAGACCACTTCCTACTGAATCTATGCAAATTCTAAGAAATGGACCAATGTCTTTTCATTGCACATTAGATTAGCCATGCACATCTGCTAAGAACTTCCGCGTCAAGGTTGGCTAAATTCTCTCATCTGCTGGACAAGAGACCCAAGGAATAGGGTGACAATAGTTTCACACACCATTAGCTCTAACATCTTTGGAGGCAAAACCAATAATGCAGTTGACGCAAAGTTTTAGAAAACAGTCCGTGATAGGTAGGCATCATTTGGCCATGCCATAAATCAGGCAGTGAGTTGCTGGATTCCCACCACAGTGGCCAGGTTCGATACCAGGTCAGAACATGTGGAATCCATGGTGGACAAAATGGCACTGAGGCAGGATTTCTCTGAGTACTTCAGTTCCCCTTGCCAATTTTCATTCTGACTGCTCCACAGTCATCATCATCTGTCACCTGGGCTGGTACAATAAGTCAACAGTGGCTGCAATACCAAGTGGACTCAGTCTCATCCCACCCAAGAAAAAAAAAAGAAATAATTAGGCATCACTTGTAACAATGAGTGCCCCCCCCCAAAAAGCCCTCATTTAATGTAACATTTGCCCATGTATATAATGATAAGAAACCGTAAGTGCCAGTGATTTTTGTCACCATAATGAAGTTCCCATTAGAAGCCATTGTTTTCTTATGGTTACACTGTATTGAAGATAGTAAAAAGATGTGTTTTCTAACATAAACTGAAGTCTATATAGCTTACCCTGCTGCCTGCATGTGTACTGACAATGCCTGCACGAAAAGGGTTTATCTTGTGTGTGTATTTTGAGATGGCTCTTCATGCATGCAGTGCTAATGCAAGTGTATGCACAGATCCCACACTTCAGCACTTCATCTGAAAACAGAATTACAACAGAACAGCCAGACATAAGTAAAATATGACAAGCCAAACCTACCAACATGGCCATCAGGCACTCTATAAAGAAGTGGAGAAAACCGTTAAAGATTACTTATAACAACATCATTTTTTCCTCAAAATTAGCCATTGCACAAGAGGGTCAATTTATACCTAACAGTACCTTACAGTTGGACAAATACAGCATATTAAAAGTGTCATATTACAATATTTTTTTTTTGTTAATAATACTTATCTAAACCATATGCATACAGGTATTCAGACAAAAGTAAAAACATTACATTACAGAAAAAAATTACTGTGAAATGTAATGTCACATTAAAAATACAAACTGGAAGAACAATCAAAACTTCATAAAATTCACATAACAAACCAGCATGGATCTTCTCATGCTCCTTCGCAGTTCTTTTTGAAGCAGACACATGACTGCAGCTATTGCATGGAATTGGTTTCACTTCTGTGTGGTTAAGACGTAAGTGGACTCGAAGATTTGCTGAAAGAAATAATGATTTATTAAGTGGTATATGGGATTCTAAATAAACTAACTAATTCCATGAGGATCAGTTCTTCTTGAGATGCTAATAGTTGTTCTGCTAGTCAAGCAATTTACAACATTGTATGGAAGCTAAAGATTCAATACTATGTTCATAAAAGTCCACCAATGGTCCCTATCATGAGCCAGATGAATCGAGTCCACATTCCCATCCTATTTTATTTGTTATCCTGCCATATATGCCCAGTTATTCCTAGTGGTCCTTTTCTTCGGGTTTTTTCCCCAAAACTTTATATGAACTTCTCTTCTCTCCTATACGTGGAGCACATCCTGCCCAACCAATCCACCATGATTTCATTATCCTAACAGTATCCGGTGAGGAGTAAAAACCATGAAACTCCTCATTATGCAGTTTTATTCTGCCTCCTGTTTCTTCTCATCACTTATGTCCAAACATTTTCCTCAGCACCATGTTCTCATACACTTTCAGCTTACGTTCTTCTTTTAATGTGTGACATCAAGTTCCAAGCCCACGGAAAATACAGGCAAAATTATAATTTTGTATATTTAATCTTTACTTAATTAGACAGAAGACAGGATGACAAAAGATTCTGAACCAGTAACAAGCATCCCTGAATTTGATCTTCTCCTCATTTCTTCATGAATGAAATTTTGAGTTGTTAGTGTCATTCCAAAATATCTGAACTTACCCATATTTTCAAAGGATCTATTACCATATTATCACATGATTTTGTCCTCCAATATGGTGTTGAGACATTAGGAATTTCAATTCCCTGGTAAATATCCTGGTACCATGGACCTCAAAGCTGGATTTTAACTTGAGGGTGGAGAGTATTAAACAAAAGGTCAGGGCAGATGCATATGCCTGTCTTTCTGGATGCTTGTCAACTTCATAACTCCTCTGTCAGCATCTAGATTGTTCCCAAACTGCACAGGACTTGTGGCCCTCCAGGAATATAAGTGTTGCTGACTTTGCAAGTTATGCAGCTGACCTGATTCTGACTGTGGGCTTGGAAGCAGTGTGCAATGTTCATGTGTGATGAAACGGTGCAAAGAGAAGCAAGTGTGAGACTGCAAGAGAATAGTGCAGTGGCATGCAGAGGAATAGCCATGGACTAGACAAGTCAACGTGAAGATCTTAAGTGGCTATGTGACATAAAAAGTTGTTTGTCTTAATGACGAGTAATGTTATGTTGTGTATCAATTCTTTTTTGTACAGTGACCCATTTTGAGAAATATGATATACAAGGGCTACTCGGAAAGTAACCTCTGCTTATTTTAGGCAACTAATGTAGGACGGAGGGAGAGCTCGTGCAGGCAAGGTAGCTTTATATGACGCACTGCCTTGTAAACCATTATATAACTGGTCCACTAGTGTTTGTTCTAGTCTCCAAAAAGTGGGTTATGATGTGTCCTGCAATGATAATCCCATCAGCTGTGAAATCTGCATTATTATCCACTTTCTTCATGCTAAAATCATCAGCGCTGAAGAAATCCATCGTGGATTATTTGTGATTTATGGCCAAAAAGCAATGAGTACAGAAACTCTAAGACAATGGTGTAGCATGTTCAAAGATGGATGGTCAGCCAAAAGTTCATGATGAAGAGCGAAGTGGTTGGCCAGCCATCTGTAGTGAGTGATCATTTTGTTCAAAGTGTAGAAAAGAAATTGTGAAAGACTGCATTTCACAATTTCAGAACTTTTGTGTGAATTTCTACAAATTTTATGTAATGTTCTCTACGAGATTATCACAGTTAGGCTAGGCTATCACAAGTTTTGCACATGATGGATCTCTGAAAATGCCCACAGGTGCACTCAAAATGCAGAGAATTGCTTTGGTTTTGACTTTTTAGAACAATACCACAAAGATGGCAATGAATTTCTCAATAACATTGTATGAGTAACAGCTGATGAAACATGGGTTTCATTTGTGAATGCTGAAACCAAGGAGCAGTCAAAGCTGTGGATGCAGCCACATTTACAAAAGAACCAAAAAAGTTTAAACAAACACTGCCTGCCCACCAGAAAGCTGATGATAACTGTTTTCTGGAACAGAAAAGAGGTGCTGATGGTGGAGTTCATACAACAAGGGACCACAATAACATCAGAAATGTACTGCAAAACACAAAAAAGAACTGTGTAGGGCAATTCAGAAACAAAGGCATGGAATTCTGATGTCTGGAGTATCACTCCTCCATGACAATGCACATCCACTTACAGCTGCTTGCACTTGAGCTCTGCTGGAGCATTTCAACTGGGAGTTGTTTGACCACCCTCCTTACAGCCTTGATCTCACTCTGAGTGACTACCACCTGTTTGCCTACCTGAAGAACTGGTTGGGATCACAGCACTTCGGCAATAATGAGGACTTGATGGAGGGTGTCAAAATGCTCATAGGCAGCATACTTCTCTGACACAAGCATACAAAAACTTATTCCTTGATACAAGTGCCTCAGCTCTGACTATGCTGAGAAGTAGCTTAAGAATGTATGTATTTTTACATAATATTTTTTTCTCATTGCTTGTTTTGTTAACATAAGAGGTTATTTTGTGAACAGCCCTCATAATTTAAAGTACACCCAGTTCTGGATATATGACTGCTTGACTTACAAATGAACAGCATACAAACTCGTTCCCATGAGAAATAATTTATATACAAACATACAGAAGACACAGAAACTGGCTAATGAGTAAAAGGGGAAATATTTCAAGGCTACCAGGTACAGTGGTTTGCTCACTGAGTGGTACCATGAGGGGCACTAACTAGTGTTGCAGGATGATGTCACTTAAAAATGATTTGACTTATGAATAGGGTTTTGGAATGTGATCTGTTTGTATGTCCAGGGCCTAGTGTACTATTTTCTGGGGTCTAACAGTGTTACATCCCAGAATACAGTACTCCTCTTCATAGCCACTGATGCAAGAACATCAAATCCAACATGACATACATACATAATTCATAAATTCACTGATCCGTTGTCCGAATTGGACCAGATATTGAACTTGTCAAAATAAGACTTCATTGCAGAAGTACAATCATGTCAACAGCAAACAACCACACACAACTAAAAGCACCAAATAACCATAATTTACATTGTCATTCATAAACAAAATTGCAAGGAATATAGTTATTAAATGTTATACATGCTTAGCAGAAATATATTCATCTACTGAATAAAAAGCATTTCTTGTGAGGAAACTTTTCAGTGTGCATTTAAAAATCTTCACATTATCACTCATCCTTTGTATATTTTGAGGAAGATTATTATAAACCATAATGGATGAATATAACACGCCTCTCTGGATTGAAGATAATCTAACTGATGACACATGAAGCTTTCCACATTGTCTAGTGCTTATATGATGAATATTATTGTTGGTTTGAAAAAAATTGCAATTTCTAACAACAAACATCAATATAGAATAGATATATAGGCTAGGAACCGTCAAAATACCCAACTTCTTAAAACCTTCTCTACACAAGTTTCCAGGACTCAATCTCAGCATAACGCTAATCGCTCTTTTTGGGCAACAAATAAACTTTTTATAACTGGAGAAGAACCCCAGAATATAATGCTATATTCAAGCTGAGACAAATAACAAGAAAAATAGACCATTCGAAGAGCTTGTTCACTGACAAGGGATTGTAACTTCCTGAGCATAAAACACACTGTATTCAGTTTCTTTAATAATTTTTCAGATTGTTTTTTTTTCCAATTAAGCTGACAATCTGAATATATACTTAAAAAATTAACATTATCAACATCTTTAAGTCTAAAATTATTATATGTTACTGATAATGTATACTCTGGAGATTTAGGAGTCACAAATTTAATCAGGTGAGTTTTACTCAAATTAAGTATCAGATTGTTATTTCAAAACCAGCTTGAAACCCTAGTCATAACTCTATTTAATTTAATATTCAAAGAGTTTAGGTCATTTAAGTTAATTAAAATTGTTGTGTCATCCGTGTACAAAACAGTACATGCTATATCCTTAAGAGTACCTGGGAAATCATTAACCCGTTGCCGTGGTTCGTCGTGTATGTTTCGTCAGGGATTTAAATCGTCTGGGGGGGTTCGACGTGTATGTTTCGTCCAGCTGCACACGTATGTTATAACGCCCATAATAATTGATGGTTTTGCTGTAGATTGTTAGATTTTTCACTGGCCTGTTGTCAGGAGGACTGTATTTAATGACACACGCGTTTAAGAGCGCTAAGTCGTCGTTACATATGCCTGTCTTGCAGCAACGTTCCTGTGGCTATTGCGAGCTGTTTCTGTTATGAATGATGTGTTTT